ATGAGATGGTATCCCAATGTGGTTTTGATTTGCATTTCTCTAATGACCAGCGATGATGATGTGTTTGTTGCCTCCATAAATGTCTTCTTTGGAAACATGTCTGTTCATATCCTTCCCTTGCTTTTTGATGGGGTTGTTTTTTTCTTACAAATTTGTTTAGCTTCTTTGTAGATTCTGGATATTAGCCCTTTGTCAGATGGGTAGATTGCAAACATTTTTTCCCAATCTGTTGGTTGCTGGTTCACTTTAATGATAGTTTCTTTGGCTGTGCAGAAGATCTTAAGTGTAATTAGAGCCCATTTGTCTAATCTGGCTTTTGTTGCCATTGCTTTTGGTGTTTTAGTCATGAACTTGCCTATGCCTATGTCCTGAATGGCATTGCCTAGATTTTCTTCTATGGTTTTTATGGTGTTAGGATGTATATTTATATCTTTAATCCATCTGGAGTTAATTTTTGTATAAGATGTAAGGAAGGGATCCAGTTTCAGCTTTCTGCATATGGCTAGCCAGTTTTCCCAACACCATTTATTAAATAGGGAATCCTTTCCCCATTGCTTGTTTTTGTCAGGTTTGTCAAAGATGAGATGCTTGTAGATGTGTGTCATTAATTCCGAGGCTTCTGTTCTATTCCATTGGTCTATATCTCTGTTTTGGTGCTGGTATCATGCTGGTAAAACCTTAATTTGTTTGACTCCACAGTCTAAGCTCTTGACCATTATGCCATATTAATTGGAAAAGAGAGGATTGGCAGAAGTCATTCTATGTGGCACTATTTCTCCACAATCTTTGACTCCAGGATATACGGTTTCAGATTAAAGTGAGTTTAAATACAACATTGAAAGTTTGAGGTAATTTCGGATAGTGAAATACACAACTAGGACTCAAGTTCAGAAAACTGTATAAGTTTTCAAGCCTTTATCCCTACTTAGAGATGGGATGAATTTAACTTTCTTTGTGGTTTACTAGAAAGGACTTTGAAGACAGTGTCGTAGCAAATATTTAATTGATTATACTTAGAAATAATCCAATTAATATTATGTGCTTTGCATTTATAAATGCACACAGGGCAATGTTTACAATTTTCTTAATTCTGAATTTTTAAACATCTTTATAATGGACATATCTCATGTTCTCCATAAGCTTAAATAGTCCAAAAGACTATTTATGCTACAAGAGGTTCAGAAGTTATCCACATTTTGCTTGTTTTTACTATTGCTTTAAGTTAGAAGCAGTTAACGAATGACCTCTATTATGTTGTTTCCTTTCTTTTCCAGGCAGTTGACATTAGAGTTCACTACTGGATTGCAGATGACTTTTGTCTCCTTGGGAAACTATGAAACCAATAAGTTTCTTCCCCAAGGTTGGCATTAATACTGAAATTTTAATTGCCTGGCAGTATTAAAGTTCCTTGTAATTCTTAAAATTTTTGTCTAAAGCTGTTCGTTGCCTGCTTTTGTGTGTTTAGTATATACAGGGTTAGTTTGTTCATCAGTGTTTTATCCTCTTCCACATCTTGGTGATGCTAGGTGCACTAAACTGTTTCTTCTCCCCATGTACCTCTTAGGTCTAACAAAAAAAGAAACAAAGTAACTCTGCCATTCGTCTTTGTAGGGCACTCTCCTTAGTGAGGATTTTCTCTTTCAACCAGAACTAAAAGGTGACTAATTTTTTAAAACTAATTTGGGCTTGTTTTTTGTTTTGTTTTGTTTCTGTAGTTCTCTTGGGCCATTAAAGTAGTAGTTTTGAACTCCATATACCAATGGCACTTTCACAAATTTGCTACAGGCAGAAAAACAGCTTTCTGATAGAGCTAAGCAGCAGGTAAACTCAACTATGGATGACATTTGGACAATTCTTATCATATGAGGCCATAGTCTAACGACTTGTGACCACTGTGAAAACAGGAAGTAAATTATATTTTAAAAGTGCAATAAACTTGTTTTAGTAGCAAATTTCTAAAGTATTTATCTCTCCTCTTTTTTTCCTTCTTGGTGACAACTTTATGTCTGCCTCTATCTGCAGCACCTAATTTCAGTTTTCTTCCTCTAGTATCTTCTTTTCTCTGTGTGTGCTTTAGAAGGACGATTAAAATATTACAAAGAACATGGGATTACAGTGAAAAAAATCTAGGTTCTCACACAATTCCATTACCTGAGGCAAATTAACCAAGCTCTCTGAGCTGTAGCTTCCTTTATGTGTGTAATAAAGATAGTAATGACTGTCTCACAGAGCTTATGTGAGGACTGAATTAAATCACAGCTGTGAAAAGAGTTAACAAATTTCATATTTATAATAATGTTCCAAGAGAAACTTTGACTATACTGTCGTGGGGGTCAATCAATTAAGAATAGAATTATATTTGACACTGAAAGACCCTGACTCTGACTCTGAAAGTAGCACATAAAGAAATGTAGTCTGACTCTTTAATTTCTTCCTTAGGCAGACATTTCACTGTTAACTATATCCCCTTCTACTGAGTAACAAGAAGAATTAAAAATATAAAAGGAAAAACTGTCGGGAGTCTCAACTTCCTTTTCTCCTCATTTCTCTGAGCTTCTCCGACAGATACACCTGGAAGATTCCTGATGTAACAAAAACATAGAAATTATATCATAGACAGGAAAAAAATATTTTCCCTATTAACCCCAATAGGATGGGTTCCATATAAATGTAACTCGGAAAAATTCTCATAGTTGATACAAAGATACAAATAGCAAAGTATAAGTTATTTATGAAACTTTTCTTTTCTTAAAGCATTTTTAAGGAATTAGTGTTTAATACAACAAAAGTGTATTAAAATATTTATATTCATAACCAACACATATAGTAATCAGGTATTTATTGTGCCCTCTCTATGTATTCAACATTAGGAAAGAAGATTTGGGGTATACAGAAGAAACATGAAGAGATAGTTATCAACCCTCAAAGAACTCGTAATCTAGTTACAAAGATCACACTGTCATACAAAACATATCAACGGAGAAAAGTAAAACGAGCTCATAATTATGTGCTAAATTATGCACAGAGCACACATAAATTTATGAAAATAGGCATTTAATTGAAAGCATGACTAGTTAGGAAATGTAGCATTTTCCAAAACTGGAAAAATATAGGTGGGAACATGCTAGGTACTCCCTTCAGTGACTGCTTAATGTTAATATTTGCACAGAGGAGGCCTTTACGGTGCACCAAATCTACAGAGATTTTAATGTTATGCAACGTTTTATTTTTAAAACCCTAGTGGGATGCATAATAAATTTATGTATAAAAATAGTTTTAAAGATCACTGGGTTGTTTTAAGCTGTTTGTTGAAGACAGCATACTCTGCAATTCTTAGCATAAATGCATAATATCTCTATACTTAAAATATTTTTTGTACCATATCAGAATAAATTTTGAATTCATGCTCATAAAACTCATACAAAATGCGGTATATTTTCAAGTGGATATTTCTTAAACTTAGAGTAAATTGTGTTCCTGAAAAAGGCACTAAAATAAAAATTATGTGGATCTAAAAAAGATATGTCATCAGTAGATGGTTGTGACTGCAAGTTGTCCAGGTTCTTGGGATTTTGAACAAAGAATAGGACAAAACACCCAGCAAAGCAAAGAAAGAATGAAGCAACCAAAGAAGGAAAGCAGGGATTTATTGAAAACAAAAGTACATTCCAAAGGGTGGGAGCCTGCCGAATACAGAATATTCTTGAGTCCAAATAAACCCCTAGAAGTTTCCCATTGGCCACCTCATGCTCACCTCATGTAAATGAAGCGGTAGACCACAATCAGTCTGATTGGTTGCAGAAAGCAGCCAACCAGAGGCTGAAGTGAAGTTATAAGGTCACACTCCTTTTGCAACCAACCAGAAGCTAGGGTCAAGTTACAAAGTTATACTTCTATGCCAACCAAGACTTGGCCCACAGTCAGCCTGATTTTTTGCAGACAACCAATTCTACTTCATAGAAAAGGTCAAAGGGAGTAGCCTCTGATCCTTTTGTTAATTAGGCATGGAAAGTTAGGGCTTTCCTTTCAATTTAGTTATAGGAAGTAGGCGTGAAACAGCTTTAAGTTCCCTGTCTCCGGAACATATGTTTTTGCCTCAATTGTGCACTGAGGGAAAATGTCATAATGAAGGGTGGTATTCCCTATTATGGACTTTCATTCACTCAACCGTTCATCTATTTATGTATTAAATAACATATTCTGTGCTAGTGCTGTGCTAAGTACTAAATATAAAATAGATCTTGCTTTTACTCAGGTGGAGTTGACTCTAGTGAGAAAAGGAGAAAATAAACAATCAAACAAACGAATAAATGTAGAATTATATAAGTTGCTATGTGCTATTTAAATAAAAAGAGCAAAAGGAGATAATAACAGTGGAGGCCAGGGTATCTACTAAATTAGGCTTTCTCAGCAAAGATTTCTTATAAAGAGGTGATGATTTTAAAAAGACAATTTTGTAAAAACCCTGTGAAACAACGTTCGAGTCAGAAGGGCCGACATGTGCATATTCAAGGAATGGAAAGGCCACTCTCACTGGAGCACAAGAATCAAATATGAGAGTGGCATGAACTAAGATTGAAGAGGCAGCAGTGGCTAAAAGTCATGGACTCCTGTAAATCACTAGGACTTTATTCTAAGTGCATCAAATGACATTGTTCTGTTTGAAGGGGACAAGAGACACAATCTGATTTCCATGCTATAAAGATTTTTCTAGATTATTTCTAGAGAAAGAATGAGAGAGCGATTAGAGAGAAGAAGCATAAATCCAGTGCTTGTCTTCATATCAAATAAATGAAAAATTATATGCCTTCATTTCACTTGGCATGATGCTTTTGGAAATATGTTTAATGAATGGGGCAGTAGAGTGACACCGGGAATGTAAAGTTTATGAAAGCAGGCACTTTGTTTCTACATAAGAGGTACTTAGCTTAATACAGTACCTAGAAATTCATCAAAAATATTTGTTAAATCAAATAATTCATAAATGAATAACAATTTCAATTTAATGTTAGTTATATAAGTGATTTCTAAAAACAATGCCTATAACTTGGAGAAAAACTGTGGTGTCTCAATGTAGCAGAATTTTTACAACATTCTACACATGGAGGTAGGATCAAATAATATCAAAGAGAAGGATGAGATCAACTTTGCTTTAAAAGGAAGAAAATAGTATGTGAAAGATTAATGAATCATATAACTTGTATACTGCCTATTATAAATACAAAAATTAGTAGCATGAGTAAAATAGACAAAGCAGTGTAACTGTGCATTTTTCTGAAGTTAATTGCTCTGAAATAAGAAATGTTTGTATTAGATAGGTGCAAAAGTGATTACGGTTTTTGCCATTAAAAATAATGGCAATTACTTTTGTCCCAACCTATAACAAGGTCAGCAGAAGATTAAAACATAAGAAAAAATAGAAAGCAGAAGTGACTTCTTGGCAACATGTATAATAAACACAATTATTGAACATGCTATACATTTTTTTATAAAAAAAGAGGAAAGGAAGCCAAACAAACCCTGTCCTTAACAAAAGTCAAACATTAATTAGCTGACTTGTCTATCCTAACATTATTTCTAGTTAGTATTTATCTATGAAAAGGACAATAGTTTTTACATAAACAGCTTTTTAAAAAAATATGTTTTTACTATTTCTCCACAAATATAGTGACTTTGAAATCAACTAAATCCTATAATTGAGGTTGCAATCTTTGCAATATATATTTGAATTGATAAAAAAGGTATAAGAATCTAATGTACATATCTGCACAAGATCCACTTTCCAACACAGTAATAATTAAGGAGTTAATGATAAATATCAGTGTAGGCTCACGTTTGGCACTAATCATTTATTAATTCTCCCTAAATCTATGGGAATATATTTATAACAAATTGAAAGGTGTAGTTCAAAAAGAGTTCCATTATGTCCGCAAACATCAGTAACTAACACAACACAAAGAGGAAGCCATCACAGAATATAATACTCACGAAAAAACCTTTATTTTAAAAGTAAGGAATACAAATATTTTAAGACCGTTATGGCTCATATGGTTGCTAATGGAACAAGTACTGTGTTTCTTGGCAAGTCATTTACCAATGTCATTTGTTGCCACTTCTCAAAAATAGGATTCCACAGTTTAATAAATCTAGGCTTCAAGTGGAAATGTGTAATTTGAAAACACAGCAAGTGCGGTCCTGTTCACAGCATCACAAATCTGTGAACCTATAGTTTTGTCTGTTACACAGCAATGTGTAATGCTCTAATCTATTGGCTCTGTCTTGCCTCTGTCCTTTCAAATGATTTTCAGCAGTGAAGACTTATAATATCTGTATTTTTTCTGTGTTTATAATGAAACACATATTCATTTTAGAGTAGCTCTTATTCTAAATATGACCCTACTAATAACACAATTCTTTGGTTATGAATAAGTTTTGTATATATTCCTGGAAGAGCAACATCTTAAGGCTTAGATCAGATTTGTTTTTCATTATCTGGGAAGGTTTCTGGGACCATAATAGACGTATAATGACTCAAGGCTTATGCCTACTCACAGATTGTCTCTTGATGAGTCCTATTAGGACTCATAGGACCCTAAGAGTCCTAATAGGACTCTTTCAATGGATTCTATTCCCATGTTCCTTTACCTTGAACAACTTTTAATACAATGCACAGGTACAAAGGTATTTGAAAAAACTCTCCTCAGCACTACATTTGTGTATACTAAATTAACCATTTTTCAGTTTTTATGTTTGAGGATCCTTTAGTGTAACTTATTTCTGCAGATATAATTAGAATGCATTTTGGGGAATATGAATATATAATTTAGAAGCAGTGTTGCTTTGAATAATTTTTATCAAATCAATAATTTATTGGTTGTGTAATAGTATATGTAGAATTTGCATGCCGAAGGCTAAATTGCATAAAAATTATGTGAAAGTGGAAGCTTACATTGTTGAAGTATAATAATTAGAAAAATAATTAGAAAATTGTTTAAATAAAACTATGGGTGTTATTTACATTCCAAAACTAACCAAAGGATTGTGGTTAGAGTCAGCAAATCAGCTGTCCAAATGTCAACTTTCAAGAAGTGAGGTAAAATTCAATAAAAAGCAAGATTTCTGTTTTATAATTATTTACAGGGAACAATAAAGCAAAAATAAAGATGCAGATAGAAAGTTTGCAAGTTGGCCAAAGATCTTAACTGTCCAACATTACTTTTTTTCTTATTGGGAATAAAAGAAGTATTAGTGAAGAATATCGATATAGATGGTGCAGTATTGAATCAAAAAACAAGATGATTAGGTTAGTAAGTGACTAAATTATAAAACAAGCAATGTGAATGAAAGGGCAGATCAGTTTCGGGTGCGGTGGCTCACGCCTGCAATCCCAGTACTTTGGGATGCTGAGGTGGGCCGATCACCTGAGACTGGGAGTTTGAGACTGGCCTGACCAACATGGAGAAACCCCACCTCTACTAAAAGTACAAAATTAGCTGGGCATGGTGACACATGCCTGTAATCCCAACTACTTTGGGAGGCTGAAGCAAGAGAATCACTTGAACCCAGGAGGCAGGGGTTGCAATGAGCCAAGATCATGCCTGGGCAACAAGCGGAAAACTCTGTCTCAAAAAAAAAAAAAAAAGAAAGAAAGAAAGAAAATTAAAAGAAAGGAAAATGCCCATCAGTACATTACAGAAAGCCAGGCAGGAGAAAAGCCAATTAGCATTGACTAAATTCAGTTTTGAGCATATGAAGTTGTGATGGAGTTAAATAAAAAAAAATCAACTGACTTGTAGTTGACTTAGATGATTCACTTAATAACGATGAGTTAAAAGGATATGTATCAGAGCTAAACTAAGAAAAACTGAAGGTTAGGATTAAAAAATAGTGGCATATATAGGATAACATCTCAAGACTCAAATTGAAAAATGGGGTATATTCCTTTGCATTGGACCTTAAAAAAAATGAGCTATGAAGAACTAATTATTAGAAAGCAGATTATTATTTCCAAAGCTTAGTAATTGCTTTAGCTAAAAGCTACCACATTCTTGTTAGTAAAATAATGTTAAGCCTCTAGAACCCTTACTTGATGTTACTCAAAGGGTGGAATATAGAAAACAGGCCAATTCTCTGGATTTGAAATTTCTTAGTGCTGGGCCATGAATCTGCATTTCAGCAAATCACCTTGTGATTGTGATATGTCTTAAAGTTTAAAGAACTGCTGTGTGCTTCCTTAATGTAATGTATTTAATCTTCAATATAAATGACCATTCATCAAAGAATTTTGAGCAAAGGCATGACACAATCAGACCTATGGCTGCCGTGATAAAAATAGTCTCTTGGAGCAAGGGTGGAAACAAAGAGATCAATTTGGAAGCTACTGCAATAATCAATGTGGGAAATGATAGTAGATTGGACCAAAAAAAGGTAGCAGCAGTGATACTGTCTTTCTATGCTTAAAGTCAAACTGGTCATCTAATTCAATTTACCAAGGGTACATCTAATTCAATGCATCCAAAGGTACTAGTCAATGATCTTTGGGTTACACGTTACAAATTAGTAAAAATAACAACAAAAAGGTAACTAATTGCCTCATGCAACTGAAATGTCAAGAGTAAATTTTTTTTCAGAAATAAAACCATGCTGTAGTTTCTCAGCTTATCTCTTGCTTATTTCATATCGATTTATATCTATCCGTTTTTGTTGACTCATCTCTTTCCCATTTAATAAGGGCTTTCTCAGTTTGGCAGTGGGAGTTGGGAGATGCCATACCTGCAGATGGCATCAGTTGTATATTTCTCTAGCTTTCAAACCCAACATAAAAAAGAAAATCTTCTTTCCCTGTGTTCATATATGAAATTTGAGAACAGGATTTTGGTTGTCTTGGGCACTTTTCTTTAGGAGACTCATCGAGGCCAAGGAACTAGGGTATTATAAATTATCAGGCCTGGGTAGGTGTTAGTTTGTTTTCACACTGTGGATAAAGACATAGCTGAGACTAGGAAGAAAAAGAGGTTTAATTTGACTTACAGTTTCACATAGCTGGGGAGGCCTCAGAATCATGGCAGGAACTGAAAGGCAATTCTTAAATGGTGGTGGCAAGAGAAAACAAGTCAGTTGCAAAAGCAGAAACCCCTGATAAAATCATTAGATCTCATGAGACTTATTCACTACTATGAGAACAGTATGGGGGAAACTCATTTAAATTATGTCTTACTGGGTTTCTCCCACAAAGTGGAAATTATGGGGGTAAAATTCAAGATGAGATTTGGGTGAGACAACAGAGCTAAACCATATCATTCTGTCCCTGACCACGCCAAATCTTACATCCTCACATTTAAAAACCAATCATGCCTTCCCAACATTCCCCCAAAGTCTTAATTGATTTCAGCATTAACCCAAAAGTCCACAATTCAAAGTCTTATCTGAAACAAGGCAACTCACTTCCATCTATGAGCCTGTAAAATCAAAAGTGAGCTAGTTATTTCCTAGATGCAATGGGGGTACAGATATTGGGTAAATACAGCCATTCCAAATGGGAGAAATTGGCCAAAATGAAGGGGTTACAGGGCCCATGCAGGTCCGAAATCCTGTGGGGAAGTTAAATTTAAAAGCTCCAAAATGATCTCCTTTGACTCCGGGTCTCGCATCCAGGTCACACTGATGCAAAAAGTGGGTTTCCATGATCACAGGAAGCTCCACCCCTGTGGCTTTGCAGGGTACAGTCTCACTCCCGGCTGCTTTCCTGGGCTGATGTTGTCTGTGGCTCTTCTGCGTGCACCGTGCAAACCATCGGTAGATCTACCATTCTGGGGTCTGAAGTGGTCCTCTTCTCACAGCTCCACTAGGTGGTGCCCTAGTAGGAATACTGTGTGGGGGCTCTGACCCCACATTTCCCTTCCACATTGCCCTAGCAGAGGATCTCCATGAGGACTCCACCCCTGCAACAAACTTTTTTTCTTGGCATCCTGGTGTTTCCATACATCTCACATCTAGGCAGAGGTTCCCAAACCTCAATTCTTGACTTCTGTTCACCTGCAGGCTCAACACCACATGGAAGCTGCCAAGGCTTGGATCTTCCACACTGTGAAGCCACAGCCTGAGCTGCATGTTGGCCCCTTTAAGCCATGGCTGGAGGAGCTGGGACACAGGGCACCAAGTCCCAAGGCTGCACACAGCACAGGGACCCTGGGCCCCTCCCAGGAAACCACTTTTTTCTCCTGGGCCTTTGGGCCTGTGATGGGAGGGGCTGCTGTGAAGTTTCCTGACATGGCCTGGAGACACTTTCCCCATGGTCTTGGGGATTAACATTAGGCTTCTTGCTACTTATGCAGCTTCTTCAGCTGGCTTGAATTTTTCCCCAGAAAATGTTTTGTTGTTGTTGTTGTTTGTTTGTTTTCCTATCACATAGTCAGGCTGCAAATTTTCCAAACTTTTATGCTCTGCTTCAATTCAAGAGTCACCTCTTGAATGCTTTGCTCCCTAGAAATTTCTTCCACCAGATACCCTAAATCATGTTTTTCAAGTTCGAAGTTTCACAAACCTCTAGGGCAGGGGGTAAATGTCACCAGTCTCTTTGATTAAACATAACAAGAGTTACCTTTGCTCCAGTTCCCAACAAGTTTCTTATCTCCATCAGAGACCACCTCAGTCTGAATTTTATTGTCCATTTTACTATCAGCATTTTGGACAAAGTCATTCATCAAGTTTCTAGGAAGTTCCAAACTTTTTCACATTTTCCTGTCTTCTTCTGAGCCCTTCAAACTGTTCCAATATCTGCCTGTTACCCAGTTCCAAAGTCACTTCTACATTTTTGGGTATCTTTTCAGCAACATAACACTATACTGGTATGAATTTACTGCATTAGTTTGTTTTCATGCTGCTGATAAAGACATATCTGAGACTGGGAAGAAAAAAGCAATTCAATTGGATTTACAGCTCCACAGGGCTGGGGAGATCTCAGAATCATGGCAGGAGGTGAAAGGCACTTCCTACTTGGCGGCAGCAAGAAAAAAATGAGGAAGATACAAAAGCAGAAACCCCTGATAAAACCATCAGATCTTGTGAGACTTATTCACTACCATGAGAACAGTATGGGCAAAGCCACCCCCATGATTCAAATTATCTCCCACCAAGTCCCTCCCACAACATATTGGAATTATGAGAGTACAATTCAAAATTAGATTTGGATGGGAAACAGGGCCAAACCATATCAGTAGAACAGGTAGTCATGCTTATGACCAGGAGATTGGGTTCTATTTTGTAAATACCATTAGAACCACAGAGTGGATAAGAGGTAGCGCCCCAAAAGAACAAGGTTGAATTTATCAGAAAAAAAGTGGAAGTCATTCTAGACCAAAAAATACAATGAGATGTTCACTATACTTTGCTTTAAGACTGAGAATTATACTTGTATATTAGTAAAATTATCCTTCAGCTTCCTTAGTAGATGATATTTTTCACTTTAGAAAATTGTCATACCTCTAATAAAAATTGATTATTATTTTTAGTGTCAGAAATAATTCACAATGACTGCAAGACTATATGCAAAAATAATACTGTTAATTAAGAGAATTATAAGAATTACTATGGCCTGGAAAATAATCACTGAACATCATCTGGGTATTTAATTAACACTTATAGTTTGTTACCTTTTATTCCATGATGATTAATCCATTAGCAATTCTATTGGTGCAAATAAAGAAACAAATTACTTTAAATTTTCATGCCTACAAAGGAATAAAATGCATTGTGATTGTTATTAGATTTGCCTTTTGTTACACTAATACAAGTAATATGCCATCTAATCTTTTAATTAAAAAAGAAAAATGAAATGTGATTATTGAAAATGACAAATGGATAATCTGTTTACAAATCTCTTTATAATAAAAGAACAAGGATCTTTGAGAGAAAACATGTCAATCACAACTCTTCTTCAGATTATATATGCAGATATTAAGAATACACTAAATATAACATAAATTATGTTTTCCACATCAATTCAATGATTCATATATTTATGGAAACCCAGTTACTGATTTTAAACAGGATAAGAGAAAATACTGGATCTACAGTAAAAAGATTTTGATTCTTGTTTCAGGTCTGCTGCTGTGATAGGCATGATTTCTAAAATAGCCTCCTAAAGATGTTTTACTCTGATCTCTAAAACATGTGGATATGATGAGACATCACTCCTGTAATTATGTATGTTATATGACACACTTGACCTTGAGATAGTAAGAATATCCGTGATTGTTCAGGTGGTCCAATGAAACGGTGGACATGAGCCCTTAAGCACAGATAGCTTTCTCTGGCAGAAGAGGAGGTTAGGAAGACTGAAAGCATAAAGGACTTGATGTGTCACTGTTGCTTGAAGATGGAGACCACATTAGAAGAAATGTGTGCAGCTTCTAAGACCAGATAACCAACCCCAGTTGGTAGCCAGCAAAGAAACAAGTACCTCAATTCTACAGACTTTGAAAATATTATTTTTCTCCTGAGGCTTCAGAGAAAAGCCCAGACCTGTTGATATATCAATTTCAGTCTTGTAAGACCCAAAGAAGATAACTCAGTTGATCCTACCTGGACTTCTGACCTACAGAGACGGTGAGAAAATAAATAGGAATAGGTACTGCTGTTAAGTTTCTAGTTTGTTATAACTGCAGTAGGATACTAATACAGCTGCTAAGAGGTGAAGTGAGTTAAGTTCTGTGGACCTTCTTTACCACGTCTGCTAAGTGAAATAGCTGGACTATATTTGTATCAACTAATCTGAGATTCCATATAACACTGTTTTGGAAGATGTTAATTTTATGGCTCATACCTGAAAATTTATAGATTTTAAAAGGTCAACTATATTTAACAAACGCTCTGAGTATTCTGTATTTAAATTAAAAAAAAACTATTTTAAACTATAAGTGTTTCAATATCTTTACTACACATATAAATCCTATGCATTCAATATTAAGAAATTCTCAACTAGAAAATTGTATTTTCTTTCTAAAATTATTTCTTATAATTCATTAATAAAATGAATATTTCATAGGAATATATATATAATAACTATGTCTTTTGGTTTTCTGAGAAAATTAAGCCTCATTTTCAGACGGTCTGGGTTCTTGTCACCAAATATTAGTTTATATAATTTTTAGTTCTAAAGGCATATTGACCAATGGTGACACATTGTGGATACTCAACAGCTAACTGATTCTGATACACTCTGATGAAAGACAGCTTTTTCTTAGATGGCGTGTATTCAAATATACACATTTGCAACCATATTCCACTGCTTATGCAGCCACTTAAAGATAAAAATACATTGAGGAATAAATCCTTGGATGATTTCATCATTGTCTAACATCATAGAATGTACAGACCTAGATGGTATATATAGCCTACCACATACTTAGCCCCATATGGTATAGCCTGTTGTTCTTAGGTAACAAACCTGTACAGCATGTTACTGTACTGAATCCTGTAGGTAACCATAACAACAATGGCAAGTATTTGTGTATCTAAAAGTATCTAAATCTAAAAAAGGCACAGTAAGAATATGATACAAATGGGGTATGCCTTTATAGGGCACTTGCCCTGAATGGAGATTGCAAGAAATTGCTCCAGGTGAATCAGTGAGCAAGCAGGTAGTGAAGGTGAAGGCCTACAATGTTATAGTATACTACTGTAGATTTTATAAATACCATACACTTTGGCTACACTTAATTTATTTTTTAAATTTTTCTTAAAAAATAAATTAGCCTTAGTTTACTATAACTCTTTTACTTTAGACATTTTTAATTTTTCAAAACTTTTTGACTCTTATAATAACATGTAGCTTAAAACGCATGGTTGCCTGAGGTTGCAATTTTTTGAATTTTTGCAATCAGACCTTGGTGATGACCTTTAGCAGTAGGAGATAAATAACTTTCACATGCTTAGCATTCCAATAATGGAACACTAGGAAAAAATGGGTCAGCACACAATTGCATTGTACAACTGTACAAAAATAATTTCTATTATTTCCTTATTCTATATGCTTTCTTCTATTTTAAAAATATTATTATTAATATTTTCTCACTCTTTAAAATTATGTTTTAGAAACTGAGACACCAACACACACATTAGCCTAGGCCTACACAGGGTTAGGATCATCATTATCACTGTCTTTCACTTTCATGTCTTGTCCCAGTGGAAGGTCTTCAGGTATAATAACACATGTAGAACTGTCATCTCTTATGATAACAGTGCCTTCTTCTGGATACCATCTGAAGGACAGGCCTGAGGCCGTTTTACAGTTAACTTTTATGCTCTATAAGTAGAAGGAGTAGACTCTAAAATAACAATAAAATGTATAGTATAGTAAATACATAAACCACTAACATAGCCATTTACTATCATTATTAAGTATTATTTACTGTACATAATTGTATGTGCTATCCTTTTATGTAACTGGTAGCACAGTGGATTTTTTTAAACCAGCATCACCACAACCACATGAGTAATGCATTGTGCTACAAAGTTACAGCACCAAACATAATACTAAACCCAGCTCTGCCACTAACCCACTGAGTGACTTTCACTAAGCCAGATGATCTCTTTAGGTCACTAGGCAATAGGAATTTTTCAGCTCCATTATAATCTTATGGGGCTACCGTCTTATGTGTGGTCTGTCCTTGACTGAAACATCAATGAAAATGAGAAAGAAATACAGTGATGTATGAGGCACAAGGCTGTATTTCTTTCTCATTTTAATTTATCTGAAGCACTTCAAGAAGATAGAGTTCCCAGAAAAATCACTTTACTGCTTTCTTCTGACCTCTGTAAATCTGCTTTCTTCTTGTCATTCAGATCTCAATGCAAATACTACTTTTCTTAAAGAAACTTATTTCTGACCATCCATCCAAAGCAAAACATCCACACTCTTTAGCAACATATTTTATTTCTTTGCGCAATTTATCACTATCTTATATATTTTTGCTTGTTTGCTTATTGCCTATGTCTCTTCATTATTATGTAAGTTTCATGAGAGATGACCTCTTGTCTGCCTTGATAATGACTTCTGAGTAATCTAGTAATAAGATCATCTTCTTTTGCAAACTTAACATTTTAACCTGTAATTTTCTTGTGCTTTACAAGGTGTTTGCAATTCTAATTTGGAAACTATAAATGTCTAAATATTTATATAAGTATCTACTTTTTAATTGTAGGGTTAGATGAAGATAACAAAATTTAAAACTGTGGACTCCTTTACAGGTTTTTCAGAAGCTCAAGTTCTATAGATTTTCTTCAACTGAATCTATTCTGACATTTTAATCAGACACCTGCCAGTACATATTACAAAACTCTACAATGATTTTTCAAAAACACTTTCTAAAAAGTTGCCATGACAACCCCCAGATAATATTTTGACACTGTCTCAGAATTTTAGTTTTCAGCTCCAGAAACTTTAACATATGGATTAAAAGTTGATATTTCATTTATATTAAATAGTAGTTCATTTTTTTCTTTAAAATTAATTGTGAAATCTATTAAATTATTTCATTAACGTACGTACCCTACTCTTCTGAAACAGCTTGGTGGGCAGCACCAAACTTAGAATACTAAACCCAGCTCTTCCACTAACCCACTGTTTGACTTTCACCAAACCAATTCACCTCTCTGGGTCTCAGTTCTTCATTTATAGAATGAGGAGATTGACTACAGAACCTTTATGTTTCTTTCCATGTCTAAATTTCTAGAAATATAAATTATTAATATCTGAAATGATAACATGCTTGAATGTAATGAAGATATTCATCACTCTCATCTAGCATTCCACAACTGCAAACCAGTTTTCTTTTTTAAAAATATTATGGATATATAATAGTTTTACATATCTGTCAGGTAAAGGTGATATGCAAACATTGTGTAATGATTAAATCAGTGTAATTTGGATGTTCATCACCTCAAGAATTTACCATTTCTTTGTAAAGAAATGGTAAAACATTTCAATTCCACTCTTGTGGTTATTTTGAAATACACGGTAAATTTTTCTTTACTATAGTTGCCCAATTTATGCTACTGAACACTAGATCTTATTCCATCTAGCTTTATTCTATATAATTTTTTTAACTACTGGGATCTATAAACATAGCAGGGTATCTTAAATAATGTTTTATGACACATGTACAATAACTATAAATGAGAAAATACTTTGCAAGAACTTTGTGTTTCCAGTTTAAAATATTTAGCCTTGTTTGCTTTTATACCACATAGAGATAAGGTTATATTAGTCATTGCTGACTTTAAGATAAAAACCGATAACTTTAATCAAAACTAATTTCTCCTTCTACCATATTCCTATGGTACATTATTCCTCTGTTGTTGTGTTCATTAGATGTATGTGTATTTATATGTCTGACTCCTATACTACTTTAGAACCCTTGGAGGATTAGAATTGCCTCTTACTCATCTTTGGAGAACTCTTAACTCCTACAATGGTCCACTAGGCCTAGTAAAGTCTCAATAAATGTATTAAATTAAATTGAATCAAACTGTATTAATTAAGGCCATACATTTTTTTAAAACAGGAGCTCATTTTTTTTTTTTTTACTTGCATTGGGGACCTTATTGATCAAATCATCATCAAAAATAAGATTGAGTAGTAATGCTCACCTTTCAAATCATGTTCAAATGTAACTAAATTCCCTTCATTTTTATTTTCTTTAACTTTATATCTTGAAGCTATGCTTACTTTTTAAAGATTTATAATATTCATTTCATGTGTTTGACTACCATGATGTAGATAAATCAACTGTGTTACTCGTTTTCTTAACACGTATGATTTGAGCACAGTAAAGAATTATGGTAAATATTTATATTTTGTCACTTCTGAAAGATATATTTGATTCATTAGATATCTGATAATTTTCTAGTATTAGTAGACTTCAGAATTGTACTTGTAGACTTCAGAACTGCATTTATCTTTTCAAAGACTTAGGGTCAGAAATAGAGTTATTTGGGATGAGAAATCATCATGTGGGTGTAATATTTTGAGAGTAGAAACACAATGAGGAGAGCCAGCCTTGAATTTTTATTTTGGTTTAAGTTGATATTTTTATGAATGTTGGTTATGTATGGCACAATCAGTACATAACATAATTTGATCAAACTTATAATTGTCATATTCTTCCTTTTTGCTTCATCAAGTTTATCAGTTTTGCTCTATAAAAAAACTTGTGTATTTAATTAGAAATTTACCTTATTTTTTTCCCCCATTTATTTATTTTATTGCATTTTAGGTTTTGAGATACATGTGAAGAACATGTAAGATTGTTGCATAGGTACACACGTAGCAGTGTGATTTGCTGCCTTCCTCCCCATCACCTACATCTGGCATCCCTCCTCTTGAGTAATCTGTCAGAATAAGCATATGTGGGTATTGGAATTACTATGCAGTATGACAAATTAATTTATAAGGTTATATTTTCAGTGATACATGAATATATCCATTAATATGCCCCAAGGAAACTAATTGTATGTCATAGATGAATTAGAGATCCAGAAATCTAACCCAGAATTAAAAGATTAGCAAATAATAGTATAAACAATACAAAATACACAGGGTAAGTATTTGGTCTTCATATGCTTAAAAAAGGTAATTGACATTTTTTACTTTGTGAGATTTATTCAAATCCAGTAGGTTAGAGTTTGTTGTAAAATTCTCATAAAATTATCTATCATTTCATGTGAAATTGTGCTATAAAGTAAGATATTTTTTATATAGAAAAGAGGCAAAAAAAAGTTAACTATCACTGATTTTTAAAATGTCACTTTGAGCCACTTAGTAAAAAAAAAGTAAACACTCTGTTAAATAGGGTGCCTAAGTTATGATAAAAAGGAGATCTGTTTAGTAATATTAACATCATGCATTATCAAGCATTATATTGAATTTCAAAACATGTTCCCATATATTATCTCATTATCATTTGTTGTTCAGTAGGTTGTCAGGTAGGATTAACACTTCCACTTTACACAAGTAGAAAAATATCACAAAGTTTAAGTTACTCATCTAAGATTTCATAACCAATTAATGTGAGATATCTAATGAAGCAATGTATAAATCTTTTTAAAAAGTATAAATTCCATTATATAAGCTTGACTAATGTATTATAGACAAACAAATGAACTAACTGCCACTAAGGATGATAGCAAAGAGATTAGGGTAAATCTGTAAAATAAGCTTATCTCATTTTGTTTGCTCTTATATAGCAGAGAATTCTATGCTAGAAAATGGAGCCGTTGACTTTACACCTGTGTGAGTTAAAAAAAAAAAAACACACCAAAAAAAGAGGTACACTCACACACACACAACCTTCTGACCTATTTTGCTCTGAAAATAAATATACTGAATGAAATATGCTTTTAAAAATATAAATTCATTCACTAGCTGATAGGAAAGTGAGAATATTAAAATTCTAAAACTTAATTAAAAGCAGAAAAATATTGTTCTGCTCTTAAGATAGTTTCCATACCAAATGAACTTGTGCTTCGGTTTTCACCAACTCACAGGGAAAGTGGTACAGGAAAAACATCCCAAAGACCACTCACAATTCAGAGTCTAATAGAATAAGGCCACCCTCACCAAATAAAGTTGGACCTCTCAAGTGCATTATCCTTAGTATTGAGTGTGAACATATACATTCAGGGATTAGAAAGAGAACTTGCTGATTTTGAACAATCCTGCTAAGTAAAAGGAAAAAAAAACTTCATTTCCCTTGATAATTTATAGCAACAATGTTGCCCTCATATGGCTTTGCAGCCTAAATTTTGTACTACCTGAGTAGTCCAAAGAACATCATGTTTAGAGTTTCATTAAAATTGTTTCTAATCGGTAATGCTCCAAGATGCCTTGCAGAATCCATCCCAAATCAGTTTTGGAAACATAAGAGGTTAAGCGAGATGGAGATTAGTATACAAATCTCAGAGTTTTAGAAGGAGAAGAAAGGGAGAATGAGGCAAAGGCAATATGTAAAGAAACAAATACTGATATATTCCCCAAACTGATAAAAGACAATCTTCTACAGATTCAGAGATTCTAATGAGTCCCAGGCAAGGTAATTAAAGAAAATATACAATGCATTTGCAGAATTCAGTCTATAGAAAAAAATGTAAACTGTATGAAAAAGCAAAGTACATAGATGAAGAGACTTAAAGAGACTTAATACATTAACCAATTATAATGTATGAATGTTATTTGATGCTGATTCAAACAAACAGTTTAATATGTTTGAATATTTGTCCCTTCCAAATCTTATGTTGAAATATGACCTGTAGTTTTGGAGGTGGGGCCTAGTGCAAGGTATTGCATCCTGGAGGCTGATCCTTTATGAATGGCTTAGCACTATCCCCTTGGTGATGAGTGAGTTCTTCCTCAATGAGTTCATATGAGAACCCGTTATTTTTAAAAATGTTTCACCTTCCCCCATGTCTCTCACTTTTGCCTTTTCCATGTGATGCCACTTGCTCTTCCTTTGTTTTCTGCCATGATTGTAAGCTTCCTGAGGCCCTCACCAGAAGCAGATGCTAGAGCCATGCTTGTACAGTCTGCAGAACAGTGAGGCAATTAAAACTCTTTTCTTTATAAATTATCCAGTCTCAGGTATTTCTTTATAGCAATGCAAGAATGGACTAACACATAGTTTAAAAGAGAAAAATGCACATTTCAAAGACTATCTGAATAACTCTTACTATTATTGTATATTTAATCATATTAAGGAGTTATTATTAAAATTTGGGGGTATGAAAATGCTAACATGGTTATATTTTTATAAAAGAGTTTTTATCTTTTAGAGATATTTCTTAATTTTTGCTCGGAAAAATCAGTATCTGGGATTTGCTTCAAAATAATCTGAAGATTCAGAAGTAGAGATGGCTATAATTCTAGATAAAACAAGATTAACTGTGAGTAGATACATATTGAAGTGGGATGAGGTATATATATGGGGATTAATTAAACTATAATTTCTACTTTATCAAAATATAAATAAAATTGTTAAAAGAAATATAAAACTAGATAGCAGAGAGAAACTGCAGAATACCCAACTTCCTCACAAAAAATACATCATCTTAAAAGCAGTAAAAAAAGACAGATTATTTTAAAAAAGACATAGCGAGCTTCTCAACAGCAAATATGAAAGCCAGAAGATTTTAGAATAATGTTTTCAATGTGCTGTGAGGAAATAAATAAGCTAAATTTGCATGTTCAATGAAACTCTCTCAAAAAACAAGGGAAAATAAAAATATTTGTAGGCAAAAAAAAAAAAAGTAGATAATTTGCAAACAAACGATTCTATGGGGAATTTTAAGGAATGCAGTTTTAGACAAAAGAGAAATAAACCCAAATAAATATTATAAGTGTGAGGGTAAATCTACATGAAATGGAAAATAAAACTGATTGAAATCAAAATAATGATATTTTTCATGACTTTTCTAAGGGGATCAGCAAATGAGATATAATTAAAATACATAAAATCAATACATATATGTGAGGCATTATCATAATTAAATAGTTTTTAAGATCTTGTTACTGATCAGGATGGTAAAGAATTATAATTTTTATATTAATAATTTAAATATAAATTTAAAAAATCCTAGGGTGACTACTAAAGAATGGAAGAAGAAGATAGCATGTAAGCTAGTAGGAAAAAAAAAGAGCAAAAATTATTAAGTCTAAAAAGAGAAAATGAACAGTAAAAAGAAGACAAATATAAAATTCTATGGCAGATATAAACTCATATATGTCAATAACGTGCAGTTATGTACCACATAACATTTTAGTCAATGATGAAACACATATACCACAATGTTCCTCTCAGATTATAATACTGTGCTTTTACTTTATTTCTGTTTAGATATATATCAATGCACAAATACCATTGTGTTACAATTGCCTACAGTATCCAGTTTAGTAACATGCTATACAAGTTTGTAGCTTAGAAGCAGTAGGCTATGCCATAGAGCCTATGCGTGCAGTAAGCTACACCATCTAGGTTTATGTAAGCTACACCATCTCTTTTATGTTCATACAATGAAATTACTTAAAGATGCATTTCTCAGAATGTATCCTTATCATTAAGTGACATGGTATAAATGTAAAAGGTATAACTACTGTACTTAAGATAAAAATATATTCAGTTTATATGGGGCTCTTTTAGAGAACCACATACAAGGGGTTCTATATAAAACATAAGGATTCAGAAAATTTAAAAGTAAATGGATGATAAAAGAGCTATGCAAGGAAAATATTAAAGAAAATAAATGCAGCTGTGTTAATATTAGCCAAACTATAAATTAAAAATATATTAGTGGAAATACAAGAGTATCCAATTATTAAAATGTAAGGTGTAATTTACAGAAAAATAATATGATAATTCTAAACTTACATACCTTACTGCATAGCATAAAACATAGGAAGTAAAAATAGGCAGATTTTCAAGATAAATAGAAAAATCCACTATCATAATGGGAAGTGATAATAATGTTATAATGTTTCTTTAAGCAAGGTATCAGCAAACTATGCCACACAGGCCAAACTTTGTCTGTTGCCTCTTATTGTAAATAAAAATTTATTGTAAATCAAGCATATCCATTTATTTAAGTATTATCTATGACTTCTTTTGTGTTATGATGACATAGATAAGTAGTCATAACAAAGATCATAAGTCTAAAACATTTATAATCTGATCCTGTAGAGAGAAAAATAAATGCCAACCCCGATTTAAACAGTTAGATGTTATCCAGTAAGATGAAAAAAATCAGTAAGAATACCATAAGAGATTTTAAAAACAATAACAAGATATTTAATAAATATATAGAGATGTTTCTACCCAATAAATGCAAGATACATATTATTTTTACAAAAGCTGATTCCAACATAAACATATATATATATTGCCATAAAGTAAGTATCAAACAGTAGGTACTCATGGACTTAAACATGGCAATCATGAACACTGGAAACTTCTAATGTAATCACCCAACAGATACTTCCTGACATTTCTTCAAAAAAATATTCATGGATACTGTGGCATTGCAATAGAGAAAAAGTTAAATTGACATGAGGTTGGACCAAGGTGGAGAACTGGAGTTATCACTCAAATTAAATCTTCCTGAAGGTTTGGAGGTTAAAGTTGTATGGACAGTTTGGTGAACAGGGGATAGCAAATGAGTGGTACTGATTGGTTGGGGACAAAATTCTAGGGGTGTGAAAAATGGTCCTTGTGTGCTGAGTCTGCCTCTGGGTGGTACCACAGGATCAGTTGAGTAATGAGTCATGAGTCTGGGTGGAATCAGTCTGAAATATACCTTCAGAAAAACAATCTTATGTTCTACAATAGTGATGTTATCTATAGGAGCAATTGTGGAAGTCATAAACCTTGTGCCCCCTGGCCACATGACTCCTAAATAGTAAGGGATTATAAAATCTACACTTATACCTTGGCAGAGTTCAGGCTTCTCCCATAATCCTATTGTTGTAGCCTTTCATTAATCTTACAAAAATGGTTTTCAGGCCCTGGACAGGAAAGGGATTAGTTTTAGGAAAGAACTAATATCATCTTTGCTTTCCTGTTAAATTATAAACTAACTTCTTTCCACAGTTAGGCTGGCCTATGCCCAGGAATGACCAAGGAAAGTAGAGAGGTCAGAAGCAAGATGGAGCCAACTATGTCAGATTTCTCTCACTGTTATAATTTTAAAAACACAATCTCAGAAGAGTAGTAAGGGAGGGACACAAAGTTTGAAAAACTAACTGTTGTGTACTATGCTCAGTATTTGGGTGATGGAATAAATCATACTCCAAATTTCAGCATCACATAATATGCCCAGATAAGAAAACTGCAGAGGTATCCTCTAAATCTAAAATAAAATTTGAAATGATAAAAAGCAAAAATTTCAAAGAACTTAGTGACAAAAATGTTATTTTCTGACACAATTACTGAGAAATAAATAACAAAGAATAATTCAGAAAAAAATTGTTAACACTTTTATGTAACTCATGAGTTGAAGAAGTAATCTAAAATAATTTTAAATAAAATAAAAATATCAACTTTCAAAACTAATTGGGTGAAATTAAAAGAGCATTTGGAATAAAATGTATAGATTTTATGTATAATCAAAAAGAAAATATAACAGACTTATGTTAAGAATCCAATGAAAGCCATTAAAGATAAGCCAAAAACAAAATCTAAGGAAATAGAGGGAATAAAATGAAAAAAATAATTGACAACAGAAATTAATGAATTAGTTTTTTTATTTTTAGTAGAGACGGGGTTTCACCATGTTGACCAGGATGGTCTCGATCTCTTGACCTCGTGATCCACCCGCCTCAGCCTCCCAAAGTGCTGGGATTACAGGCGGAACAAGAGTGAAACTCCGTCTCAAAAAAAAAAAAAAGAAATTAATGAATTAGAAGATAAAAAAATGGGGTAGATAGGACCAAATAGTCATAAGTTTATTTAAAAAAAACAAACTAATAAAGTTGACAAATCACTGATCAATAAGAAAGGACAGACAGCAAAAATAATAATATGAAAGGAAAAGGCTACAAGTTTGCAGATACAGAGAAGATTAAAAATATTAGAGTAAATTATGAACAATTTTATGTTTTTTTTCTTTTTTTTTTTTTTTTTTTTTTTTTTTTGGGGCGGAGTTTTGCTCTTTTTACCCAGGCTGGAGTGCAATGGTGCGATCTCGGCTCACCGCAACCTCCGCCTCCTGGGTTCAGGCAATTCTCCTGCCTCAGCCTCCTGAGTAGCTGGAATTACAGGCACACGCCACCATGCCCAGCTAATTTTTTGTATTTTTAGTAGGTGGCTCAAGCCTGTAATCCCAGCACTTTGGGAGGCCGAGGGGGGTGGATCACGAGGTCAAAAGATCGAGACTATCCTGGTCAACACGGTGAAACCCCATCTCTACTAAAAATACAATTTTATGTTTTAAAGTATTACATATAATGCATCAATTTGTAGAAAAATGTATCATACTAGAACAGACTGAAAAAGAAATAGTAAGGAAATAACAACAAAAACGGTGAAGTAGGAAGTTACACAAATTTTCTCCTCCATATAATTAATGAGAACACTAGTTAAAAATTGACAAAATTAATTTTTTAAAATTTGAAAATTACTCAATGACTTGAAGCAATTCTGGGGAACATTTATTCCAGAAAAAAATGTCTGAATCTCAGTAAGAACAGCAAGACTTGTGGCATTTAACTTGCATTATTACCATTATACTCCATCAGCTCTTCAAGGGCCTTGAAAATCAACAACCTGCCATTACAATAAAAAACAGTAGCCTAACAGCTATAAGAGGAGACAGAGAGGGAGTAATGCACTTTCACAAACACATTCCAAGAGATATATTATTATTTGATCCATCTGATAGTTTCCTGGAAGACTGTACTCAAAAAGGCTCTTGGATTTTACATGATACAGAGCTCACCCATTACACTTTTTCCATGACATCTTTCTCAGGAACAATCAGAGGCAATTGTTAAACATCATGGTTGCCTAAGGCAGTAGGTAAGAGTTGGGGGAAACAATAATCTAATCAAAAAGCTTTAAAAAAGCAGATAACACATGAAACGCTTATACTGAGTGTTTTGTTTTCTTTGTTGTTGCTGTTGTTGTTGTTGTTTGAGACAGGGTTTTACTCTCATCAACCAGGGTGGATCTTGGCTCACTACAACCTCTGCCTCCTGGGTTCAAGCAATCCTCTTGCCTCAGTCTCCTGAACAGCTGGGGCTACAAGTGTGTGCCACCATGCCAGGCTAATTTTTGTATACTTAGTAGAGATGGGGTTTTATCATGTTGTCCAGGTCAGTTTCAAACTCTTGACCTCAAGTAATCCACTCACCTTGGCTTCCCAAAGTTCTGGGATTACAGGTATGGGCCACCGTTACTGGCTATAGTGAGGTTTTAAAACCTCTGATATACTCCAGGGGTCTGGGAATCCATACCCACATTTACAGCTGTGCACATGACCTGGATTGTGTACAGACTAAAGATAAATCTGGAAAGCCCCTAAGCTATTACCTCTGGCTTACATTGAGACTTCACAAGCAGGGAGTGAAGGCTAAGTCAGACATGTAAATATCCTTGCTGAGAACACATATACAGAGCCACATTACAAAGACTGGAAGACTAATTGATTCTGGGAATTTAATGTATCTCTGTCCAATCATTAAATGACTATTAAGCTAATTGAATAAGACTTCAGTGCCCACAGATAACAAAGAATACAGGCTTTATAAAATTAGTTTTAAAGAGTAACTAAGTAAAAATAATAACAAAAATCACCAAAAAACTGTAACAACAAAACCTGGGCAAAGTGGCAAACTGATTTCCATAATTGTCATATTTTTGTTTTACTATGAAAATACCTTGATAGAAGTGAACATACGGCAAGAAGAACCAAGTTCATGCATAGTAAGACATGGCTATCAGAACACATTGTGAGTGAATAAAGAATTCATACTGCTTCTGCCCTTTACCCAGCAACAGAAGGCTCTAGGATACCTCCTCCTTAGTTCACTTCTCAAACTCACCCTCCTCCTCAGCCATGACTTCCTGGTACTATTGGTATTCAGACAGCAGGTTGTCGATGTTGCTTTCAGCCTCTATGAACTCTTATCCATGCCCTCACTCACATACGGGTTCAGGAAGACCTCTCACCTAAACATGGCTGTGAACTGCTCTGAAATGCGCCTGAACAACTCCTGGATAGTAATGTTATTACCAATGAAGTTGGTGGATATTTTTAGCCTTGGGGTTAAGATGTCGCAGACAGCTGTTTTCACACTGTGGGGGATCCAATCAGCAAAGTAGCTGCTGTACTTGTTTTGGACTTTAAGCATTTGCTCATCCACTTCTTCATGGCCATGCAGTCCCTGAAAATGGCAGCCACTGATGGGTAGCAGCCATGGTGAAGGTTGCAGGTGCCAAACATCTGCTTGGTGAGCTCAGCCATTGTCAAGGCTCAATACTGCTGGCTGCCCCAGCTGGTAAGTGAGGCAAAGCCAGGCAAGAAGTATAGGTGGGAAAATGGGACTATGTTCATGGCTAGTTTCTGCAGTCAGCATTTAGCTGGTCATAGAAGTGCAAGCAATTGTTGACACTACTCACAGTGGAAGACACCGGGTGGTTAAGATCACTGTAGTGGGGCATGGGCAGCTTTAGGGTTTTGAAGCAAATTTCGTAGAGAGCTTAATTATAAAGGCATAA